GGGGGGGGGGGCCCCGCGGGGGGGGGGGGGGGGGGGTTAAATAATAGAGTAAAAACTTGCTCGGGGGGGGGGTGCAGCACCCCCAGCCGCAGCAAAGCAGCCCCACAGCCAGCCCTCAGCCCCACAGAGGGTCCCTGTGCCCACATACCCACCTCTATCCCCCATGGGCACCCCCCGAGCCCCACAGCAGGCGGCTCCTCTCCACCCTGGCTGCAGCCCAAGGTAAAAGCCCAGCGCCTGGCACCCCCCCCAAGACACCCCCCCGTGTTTTCCTCCATAACACCCCCAAAAATGCAATATATGTGACCGATTTCCACCATACAAGCGAGGTGGGGTGAGCAGAAAGGGGGGGGCACCACCCGAGGTGAGGACCCTCTGTGCGGCCGGCGCCGGTAATAAAAAATCTTCACCTTCCAAAAACATCAAGGAGTATTAGAGGGTTTCCTTACAGCCAGATTTTTTTGGGGAGGGGGGGGACAGGGAGGGGGTTTGCCTCCGAACCAGGGTGCCAGGTTTCCCCCCCCCCTCCCTCAGCCAACCAGTTCCTCACATCCAACAGAAGCTGAGCCCTGATAACCCGGCGGGTCGGAGGCATCCGGAGAGGCAGGAAGGAGCCCAGCAGAAGGAAATATTAAATAGAGCAATATAAACACGGCGACGGGAGCCAGCTCACCCTCAAGGAGAAGCAGGGGCTGCAGGCCCTGGCCCAGAAGGTGCAGCGGGACTTGGAGAAGTGTAACAGCAGCCAGACCAACAACCCCATCCCCAAGGTGAGATAACACCCCCCGCCCCACCAGCCCTCCCCAGCTCTAGGTGATGCAATGACCTTGCTTCAAGCCCCACCAGCTTCAGCAGGGATGGACGTGGGGGTACGGGGTGGGGGAAGAACCTGCTGGTGATGCCGTTGTGCGCTCCCTCCAGCCTGGTGGGGGTCTCAGTCCTGGCATCTCCAGCTGGTGAAGGGGGTTTCCAACCTCAAAGGCCCCTCTCCAGCCTGGTGGGGGTCTCAGTCCTGGCATCTCCAGCTGCTGGAGGGGGTTCCAACCTCAAAGCCCCCTCTCCAGCTTCGTGGGGGTCTCAGTCCTGGCATCTCCAGCTGGTGGAGGGGGTTTCCAACCTCA